CAGCAGCAAAGATGCATTAAGCTTATGTATGCTACAGCATATTGCTCCCAATAATCTGTATCTCTATGTTAAAGAAAATGAACAGAGATTGGGTAATCACTTTGCTGAACATCTTTGACATTTACAAACATTTATCCTGAACTTCCAGTCATTTATTTCTTTAATTCTCTGTCTGAATCTTGAATGATCTACTCTTGCTACTATGTCCTGTGTTCCTATATTGTTCTTATAACCTTTTGGCACTTTACCATCCACACCACAGACAGAGCTGAGCTATCCCCTAACTTTGTTCTACTAATCCAGAGACCGAAGTCATGCTCATTGGCAGTTTTTCAACCAGCACCTGTTTAGTGATACTCTGCTCACTGAACTCAGTTTGGGTTCCACCAGAGCCACTTAACTCCTGACCTCATTGCAGCCTTGGTCCAAACATGGATAAAAGAGGTGAGGTCAGAATATCAGGTCTTAATAAGAAGGCTGCATCAAAAAGCCAATGGGAATCGTGAACATTCTCCACTGACTGGAATCATACGAAGCACAAAAGGATGGACCCAAAACATTGACTTTCCTGCACCTCCGATGCTGTCAGACTTGCTGTGCTTCTCCAACTCCACATTTTATCAACAAAAGGAAGGTGGTCGTGTTGTTGCAGATCAGTCATCTCAGCAGAAGCTCAAGGTAGTGTCCTAGGTTCAACCATCTGCAGTTGCTTCATTAATGTACTTCCCTCCATCATAAGGGCAGAAGTGGGGATATTTGTTGATAATTGCATAATGTTCAGCACCATATGCAACTTCCCACATACTGAAGCAGCTAATGTTCAAATGCAGCAAAACCTGAACAATATCCAGGTTGTGTTGAGAAGTGTCTAGTAACATTCATCCCATACAAGTGCCAGGCAATGACCATCACCACCTGATATTCAATGACACCACCACCCCTGAATCCTGCACTGTCAACATACTGGAGGTTACTACTGAACACAACCTGAACTGGACTTGCCATAGTCAACCACATCTCTTGCGTTTCCCGCACCTCTGCCCTCACATCCCCTCCCCCTAACAAAAATAAAGACAGAATCCCCCTTGTCCTCACATATCGCCCAACCAACCTCCACATTCAGCGTAACATTCTCCGCCACTTCCGCCACCTACAATCCGACCCCACAACCAAACAGATATTTCCCTCCCCACACCTATCTGGCTTCCGTAGGGACCGCTCCCTCTGCGACTCCCTTGTCCGCTCCAGACTCCCCACTAACCCCACCACCCCCCGGCATCTTTCCCTGCAACTGTAGGAACCTTCCCTCTCATCTCCATTCAAGGCGCAAAACAAACTTCCACATTGACAGATGTGCAGGTGAACCCCTGTATAATGTGGCCTCCTCTTCATCAGTGAGACCAAGCGGAGGCTTGGAGACCATTTTGTAGAGCATCTGCACTCTGTTCACAACAAACGACAACACCTTCTGGTCGCCAACCATTTTAACTCCCCCTCCCGCTTCCTGGGTGACATGTCCATCCTGGGCCTCCTCTAGTGTCACAATGACACCACCCACAAACTACAGGAGCAGTACCTCATATTCCGCATTAGGAGCCTACAGCCCGATGGCCTAAATGTGATTTTATCAGTTTCAAAATCTCCCCAGCCCCGGCCTCACCCCATGACCAGCGCTCCCTCTCATCCTCGCCTCCTTGGCCTGACAACCTGTCCATCTTCTCTCCCACCTCACTGACTAATCCCCATCACTCCCTACCTGCACTCACCGATTACCATCCCACCTACCTTCCCCAGCCCACCCCTCCTCTCTCAACTTATTTCTGAGCTCCCTTTGCCCTCTTAATTTCTGAAGGGTGCCGACCCGAAACGTCAACTTTCCTGCTCCTCTGATGCTGCCTGGCCTGCTGTGTTCCTCTAGCTCCATACTGTGTTATCTCTGACTCCAGCATCTGCAGTACTTACTATCTCTGGACTAGCCATATTAATGTTTTGGCTACAAGAGAAAGTTAGAGTCTAGGAATGCTGCAGATTCACCTTCTGACTGTCCAAAGTCTGTGCGCTATTAAAAGGCACAAGTCAGGAGCATGATGGAATACTCACCAATCGCCTGGATAAGTTCAGCTCCATCAAGACCGATGAAGCTCAGTATTACCTAACACAAAACAGCCCACTTGATTGGTACCACATCCATAAACATCCACACCCACCACCGCAGCAGTGTGTACTACTTACAGATGCACTGCAGAAATTCACCAAAGCTCCTTAGATAGCACCTTCCAAACTCATGACTACCGCCATCTCTCAAGGCAAAGGCTGCAGGTACATGGGAATACCACCACCTGCAAAGTTCTCTCCAAGCAACTCACCATTATGACTTGGAAATATATCACTGTTTCTTCACTGCCACTGGGTTAAAATCCTGGAAGCCCCCTCCTAAACAGCATTATGGGTGCACCTACACCAAATATACTTAGCAGTTCAAGGAGGTAGCTCACTAACCAGGGAGAGAGAAAGCTACTGAAACATCCTCAATAATAGCAGAGACCACCACATATGTGCGATTGACAAGTTGAAAACATTTGCAATCAGTTTTAGCCAGAATTCCCTAATGATCGATTCATCTTGGTTTCCTCCCAAGTCCCCAACATAACAGAAGCCAGTGTTCAGAGTTTGATCCACTCCAATCAGTACTTTAATCATTTAATCACTGCTGTAATTCACTCATCACAGACCTCTCTTTGGTTCTTTTACTGCAGCCCTTACTTTTCATGGTTCACAAGCTGTTCATCCCTGATCCCTTTCAATTCTAAAGAACAGCTATTGACCGGAAAGTGTAAGGACTACACACATTTTATTTGGCATAATCAACCAGAAAATGGAAGTTTGAATTATCATCCGTTTTGTTTTTGACAACTTGAAAGAAAAGCTGAACTGTATGATATGCTCTTGCTAAAACTTGGTGCTGGCCCCAGCTGTCTTTAGGGGGAGCAAAAAAAACAATACAGGCCCAGCAATCTCATTTGTACTGGTTTAACGTAGCAGTTTGACACAAAACTGATAGGCAAGAAAACAGTTGGGATTCAGACCTTCAAACAGGACAAGACTAAGACAAAGAAAAGACTGGCCCGACAGGAAAAACTAACCTAACTCACCCACAGTACTGACACGGACAGAGCAGACCAACGGATAACTATCCGACCAGCCACTCACAGGTACTGAAAAAGCGGTCTTCACATGCTTACTAAATTACAATCACAGATGAGAGTCAAACTGACTTCCTAACAGCACTAGAATCCACTCTAAAAAACGGACTCACAGACGAAACCTAACAGACCATAAGTCCCAACACTGAGCAGAAAGATTGAAGCTAACATCCTGAACACATGGGAGAGGAAGCCCCGAGAAGGACTCAGGCGAGACAAAAACATTGTGAACCTACCTGCAGACAAGGGATGTATAATTGTCATTCTAAACAAAGCAGAATATGGTGAGAAAGCACAAACATTACTCACAGATTTACCAACAGATGGTGAAAGACCCCACACTACAACTAGAAAACCAAATGACCGCTACCCTAAGGAAATTACACCGGACAGGGGAAATAAACAAAACAGACTACCAAAGGATGAAACCAGAGGGATCAAACAGACCCTGCTACCAAGGTACCCAAGCCAGAAGTTCCCCTTAGATCTATAGTCTCCCTCTTGGGTACACCAACATACAGACTGGCTAAAGAATTACAACAGAAACTGACACACCTAGTAAGTGGCTCAACACACTCTCTCCACTCGGACCAAGAATTCCTCAATATCAAAGACACCAGAATCAATGAGGACAAAATTATGACCTCCTTTGACATGAAAGCACTATTTACTTCCATCGATATCCCCCTAACCAAGGAAACACTAGCCTTGTTATTAGACGAACCAGTATTGCCAACCCCCCTGCAACAACAATACTATCAGCAAGGACAGCACCCTCAGACCGCTGGATTTATGGCACAACACCCACTTTGTCTTCAACGGCCAGGTATACAAACAAATCAACAGAACACCCATGGGATCATCCACATCAGGACTTATAGCTGAAGCAGTAATGCAAAGTCTAGAACGGACAGCCCTTCCCAGTATCCAGCCAAAACTATGGGTCCGCTATGTAGATGACACATTTGTCATTATCAAGCACACAACACTGGAGGAAATCCACCAACACATCATCCTCCTCACCAGCATAAAATTCACCAAGGAAGAGGAAAACAACTGACTCCCATTCCTGGGTGAAATGGTCGAATGAAGGGCCAACGGTGGGCTCCAGACCAGCGTATACAGGAAGACCACCCATACCATAGTTAAATACTTAACTACAACAGTAACCGCCCCAACACCCACAAACGCAGCTGAATCAGAACACTGTTCAAAAAAGCCATAACACATTGCAGCACCCCAGAACTGTGCAAAGCTGAAGAACACCTCCACAGCGTCTTTAAAAACAATGGCTACCCAAAAAGCGCAGTCCGTCGGTACTTACTCAACAGACAACAGGAAGACGTGGCACACCCGAAACACTAGTCACCCTGCCATACATCAATAACTTATCAGAGATGGTACCCAGACTACTCCGACGACTAGGAATCACAGTAGCACACAAACCCACAGCTACACTACGATAACCACTGACGAGAACAAAGGGTCCTATACCCACAACTAACAGGACCAATGTTACATATAAAATCCCAGGTAAGGACTGCCACAAACACTACATCGGACAGACTGGGACAAAACTAGCTATCAGGGTACACGAGCACCAACTAGCTACCAAGAGATGCGACCAACTATCATTCATTTCTATACACTCGAACAAAGAAGGCCACCAATTCGACTGGGACAACGTAACCATCCTCGGACAAGCCAACCAAAGACATGCGCGGGATCTCCTAGAGACCTGGTACTCAATCCAGAACTCCGTCAACAAACGTGTAGAAATAGATCCTATATACTAACCACTACAAAGCAGAACCAAATGAGGCCGACCACCACATCAGACCGGGCCACGTAAATATCAAGCAGGACAGACCAACAACACTGGAGGCGCACTGATGATGTTACCTCGTACGGTGACAAAATGTCTGCAAACCAACCTACCAGCTCGGTGAACAAATCAACAAACTGAGCTGCAAGTCTTCTCAAAAGCTTTAAACCGTCAGCCTACCAGCAAGTGAAATTAGTCTCTTCCTCTCACTGAGTGAAAGAAATAGCACCCAAAGACTTTAAGGGGAGAAAAAACTGCTAATTTAAGACAAGACCTAGGACCAGCTGAGCAGTGACTGAATTGAAAGTCACACGCGTTAATGTGATATGATCTGCAAATGACAAAAAAAGAGAAAGTCACATCATTTTACCCCATTTGGTTGGACTCTGATCTACAGACTTTGTGCCTTTTTGTCTTTATATTCCAACCATGATACTCCTATAAAAATGCTGCTGGTCTTATCTGTCTTGTCTGTCCTATTTGTGGATAAATGTGTGTGTGCTTGGATTTAAAGGGGGTTTGTGAAAGCATTTGTAATTAATACTCTGTTCTGCGACATGTTAGAGGATAGGTTCGTTATAATAAATGAATTTTGCATTCTTATTCATTGCTGAAACCTACTACGAGTTTCTTTTATCTTAGATAGTGATCACAGTTAGGCAATAACCACTGTACAGGTTAAACTGGTCACCTATCACACTTGTGACAACTCATGGAATGGTGGGGCTTGGATTCTAGTACTCTATTCCAATCAGCATCTTTTCAGGATAAACTTGTTCTCTCTCCACCCATACTAATCTGCTCAGTGCTTTCAGCACTTCATGTTTTTAATTTCACATTTCCAGCATCTACAATAGTTTGGTTTTGTGAAGAGGAGAAACGTTCTGCCAATCAACATCAATGGTGCTATCTTCAAAGTCATTTTCAGATGAGAAACTCCACAACCTAGACTATCAAAAACCTTGACAAAATTAAATTTAAAATATGAAGTAAGCTCATTGATGTTCATGTGACAAGTCAAAAAAACGATAATTCAAACAATACAGATGAATTAAGGTGGCAATGGCAGATAAAATTTAATGGGGACAAATATGAAGCACTGCACATAGAAAGAAAAATGGGTATTGCAGTTACTCCATAGTTAATATTCAAGTTAAAGAGGAATCCAAGTCATGAAAGACTCCATACTGGTCCAATTACAGTCAAGCAGCAACAAATGATAGACAATTAAACATTTCAAAATATTTAAAGTCAACTAGGGATTGACAATAAGTACTTGCCTCACCAGTAATGTCCCCATCCAATTAATGAATTAACAAATAAACCATGCTTATTAACTGCACGGTGCTCTGATAAGATCACTACTCAAGTCTAATGTCTACTTCTGATTCCCAGGTCAAAGGCATGATTTAAACAGTGCAGACAATATTGAAAACAACCAGTTTCAATAATAAGAACAAAATACTATGGACATTTGACATTTACAAGACTCAGAACATAATACCGTACAGGCAAAGACTATATCTGGAATATTATTTAAAACAAAATTATGAAAAGTGTTTACATTCAAGTTCAAACTAGCAAATGTGCAACTAAAATCAGCAAGTTCTTCAACTGAAGAAGAGAAATAGAATAGCTGAAAGGATGAAATGGTGTGAATATCGTGAATTGTTCAAAAATTAACTGCATGCCACAACCGTGAAGATTATTGGATCTTTATGGATGAGATCAATTATGATGAAATGAATGGGCTCCTTCATCTGCATTTATCTTGTGATCCTGAGATAACAAGCTGCTACATTAACCTCATTTAAAAACTCTCTCAGCATGGAGGCAAAAATTAGTGAGGGGGATTTTGTTTTGGTGCGCAATCAATTTTAAGTAATTCTGCAAAATTGCCTGAAAGAGACAACTTTCTGACCTTATAATTTCTGACAGTTGAAATTGCTTTATTTTAGAAGTAGTAAATAAAACAATACATCATAACCAATAATATAGATGGAAGTGTCATCTTTTTCTGGTGAGTCAGACTCATACAACATGGAGACAGACCATTCGGTCCAACCTTCCATGCTGACCATAATCCCAAATGAAACTAGTCCCACATGCCTGCTCCTGGCCCATATCCCTCCAAACCTTTCCTATTCATGTATCCATCCAAATGTCTTTTAAACATTGTATTTGTACCTGCACCCACCACCCTCTGTCTAAAAAACATACCTCATGTAATATTTAAATCTCTCTCCCCTCACATTAAAAATGTGTCCCCTAGTCTTGAAATTCCCCATCTTAGAGAAAAGACAACTACCATCAACTCTATCTATACCTCTCATTATTTTATAAACTTCTTTCAGGTCACCTCTCAACCTCCAATGCTCAGTGAAAGAAGTCCCAGCCTATTCAGCCTTTCTTTATAACTCAAACTTTCCATATCCAGCAACATCCTGATAAATCTCTTCTGAATCCTCTCCAGCTTGATAATATCCTTCCTCTAACTGGGTGACCAGAACTGGACAAAGTCTTCCAGAAGAGGCCTCATCAACGCCCTGTGCAACCTCACCATAACATTCCAACTTCTATACTCAAAGGACTGAGCAATGAAGGCAAGCGTGCCAAATGCCTTTTTAACCACCCTGTCTATATATGACAAACTTTAAAGAATTACGTACCTACACCTCGAGGTCTCTCTAACTACAACACTACCCAAGGCCCTACCATTAATTGTATAAGCCCTACCCTCGTTTGTTGTACCAAAATGCAATGCCTCGCATTTATCCAGATTGAACTCCATCTACCATTTTTCAGCCTATTGACCCATTTGATCTGGATCCTTTTGTAATCTTACAAAACCTCCTTCACTGTCTTCTATGCCACCAATTTTGGTGTTGTCTGCAAACTTACTAATCATGCCTTCTATATTCTCATCCAAGTCATTTATACAAATGACAAATAAAAGAGGATCTAGAATCCCTGTGGAACACCGCTGGTCACAGGCCTCCAGTCCGAAAAGCAAAGCCACATCATTACCCGGTTTCCTGACGTTCAGCCAATTATGTATCCAATTGGCAAGCTTACCCTGAATCCCATATAACCTAACTTTATTAATTAGTCTACCATGTGGAACCTTAACAAAGGCTTTACTAAATTCCAAATAAACAATACCTACTGCTCTGCCATCAATCTTTTTGGTAACTTCCTCAAAAAACTCAAACAAGTTTGTGAGACATGATTTTCCTTGCACAAAACCATGCTGACTATCCCTAATCAATTTTTGCCTCTCTAAAATGTCCATAAACCCTATCTTTTATAACCACTTCCAACAACTTACCCACAACCGAAGTCAGACTCACAGGTCTATAGTTCCCCGGTTTCTCCTTACAACCTTTCTCAACCAAAGGTACATTAGCCACCCTTCAGTCATTAAGAACCTCACCCATACTTCTAGATGATGCAAATATTTCTGTAAGGGGTCTCAATTTCCTCTCTTAATTCCCACAACATTCTGGGATACATTAGATCAGGTTCTGGAGATTTTATCCACCTTTATATTCTCGGTTCAAAATAGGTGGTGTGTGACACTATAATCACAAAATGTCAATATGACCTGATAACACAGGCTATTATAGAACAGAAGTGATACTAATTTCCCTCCATGAGGTGTCATGGTAATCCCAAAGTGGTCTCATATTCAGTCCTTTCCAAATCCATACTGCATTTTAGCCACAGCAGAATTCTAAGGCATTGGATGCTTTTAAACTGTTTTGGAAAGAAACGTTTAATGCAGAAATATATTGAATTTTGCATTCCTTTATTTTAATTCTTTGCAGTTCAAAAATGTATTGCATACCTTGATTAAGTGATTACTATGAAACTGCTAAATTTTGGGTGTGCTCTATTTTGAGGTTAGTTTCCCGTCTTTCTCTCCAGAGTCATACAGCATGGTAACAGACCTTTCGATTCAATTCAACCAGACAAACCAATCTGACCTCGTCCCATTTGCCAACATTTGACCCATATCCCTCTAAACCCTTCCTCTTCATATACTCATCCAAGCACCTTTTAAATGTTGAACTTGAACGCACCACAGAATTATGTGAAACAGAAACTGTACCATGCAAAGAAGCCAGACAACTCCCTTGAGATTGAAATCAACTTCTCATTAGCTTTTTTGATTACTTCTTGTCCCTTTAATTGAGTATTCACATAATTTGTAATTATCATACATTTTGTAAAGATGGCTACTTGGCCTGTAAAACAAAAAAAGTCCAAAATCCTGCAAGGTGGTTCCTGGAATTATGGGACTGTCCTGTTCATTCACTGCAGCCAAAAAGGCAGCAAGATGAGAGGAGGAATTTCTTCTCCTGGAGGTTTGTGAACCCGTGGAATTCTTTATTACTGAGAGCTGTTGAGGTTGGGTCATTAACTATATTCAAGGTTCAGACAGACGAATTTTAAATCAGTAAGGGAAACAAACGTTATTGGGAAAAGGCAGGAGAGTTGAAGATTAACAAAAGAGTAGACTCGATGGGCTGAATGCCCTATTTCACCTCCTACGTCTTATGGTTTTACTTTCTTTTCTAAGTACAAACCTCATTTAGAATTTGATTAATCCTTGCACATTACAATGGGTCCTTCTAATGGTGTAAGAATTCAAAATTCCTTAGAAAAGAAGCGAGACTTGCTGAGGACAAAAAAAAGCTGAAAATTAGAGGCCAAAGCCAAAAAGTTCTCAACATTTTTTGACAATGAATCATTGTCATTGTAGCACTTTCATGATACGCAATGAAATGCAAATACTTCTGGTGACCGTGGACCAATGCATTCCTATCAAACCATCAAAATGACCTCAGCATTGCAAGATTCAAACTATTAGTAGATGTAGTAGAGAATGAAGCCCACACTAACAAGAAAACAGGATCTTGCTGGATGATCCACACATGAAGCTGTGCAAACTATGTTGCAATAGGACCCCATTTTAATTCACCATCACTCTCTCAAGAGCACGTAGGACAAACAACAAAAACTGGCCTGACCAGTCCATAAAACCTCTTGAATATTAACATGAACGCCCAACTCCAGCAAAAGCAAAACAGCAATAAAATAGCACAAGAATCTTTGATATCATTAAAGTTGCCACATTATAAATTAATATAGAAATGTATCCTACAAATATGAAAAGGTGTGTTTTCAAGGCACTTTGTAAACGTTATTTATAAACATTGATAGATTTCAGCCAAAAACTTTCCACACCCCTTAGTGACAAAAGACTTAGACCCTCTGACCTTCACCCACACATGACTGTAATAATATTCTCTCTACCCAGTACTTATAGTTGCTTCCCAACCCACATCTCCCCACAATTAGTCCCACTCCTTTATGGCCTCCACTTTCTTTCTCTTCCCTGTGACCTGGATTTTTCCACAAAAATATTGTTGACATTTAACTGCCCTCTCAAATGGCCTAGCGAGCTATTATGAATCAGCAACATGTCAGCAATGCCCACATGCCATGAAACAAAACTAAATAATTTTTCAAAATTTAGACCCTAAAATCCATGTTTGTATTTATAAAACGAATAATACCTGTTTTATACAGATACAAGTTGAGCAGAAATGAAGTAAAAGTAGCTTAATCTTAAAACGGACACAGTTGCTGGTCAAAAAACATTAACAACATTAAGCATACAAAAAAGGGAAAGAGGATCCACCATAATGAAAACTCCAGACTGGACTGTCATAGTTTAAAAATCTTAAAATGTCACATTTGTAACAAATTCTCCAAGCAAAATCAGCAGTAATTTATTTCAACTGCATTTGAATGGAAAAATTCAAATAATGGAATATTAGTGCAACAAAATATTACCTTATTATTGTTCAAATTTCAATGAGCAGGCTTTTTAAACAAAACCGATGGCAAAGTTTAATGATACAGTATTTGGAACGTAGGTTCTAAAATAGACAGAACCATGTTTAGATCTAAGTTTGATTTGTAATTTTATATCGTGTGTTAAGAAGTGCTTAGTTTTAGTTTAAGGATTAGATTTGTTCTGTGTGTGGTGCCTGAAATCTGTTGATACATGCACCTTTTCATCAAGATTTACAGCCTTAGAGTAGAGTTTAAGGTGAACAGTGCAGTGCATTAGAAGTAAGGCTAAAGGAAAAAAAAATCCATTCATCTATCATCAAGGTGGCTGAAGACAAAAGAGACACAAACAATTTCAATTAGGAAAGCATTGTGTGCAGGTTCAGTCAGAGCAAAACCATGCTATTAGTTTAGTAGTCCTCAGAAAGTTAGGGATGGGGAAATCCCAAGTAGTTTAGAAGAAAACTCCAAGAACAGAAAAGTGCTGGAAACTGAGTGTATCGAAACCCCACTTGTTTATCTGATAGTCTGCAAGAGGAAAACTTCAGATACCAATTACAGCCCTACCAACTTAAGAATGAATTTTGGAGTGGTGGCAGGTTGAACCTTCATTCAGGTTTGAGGATCTGTAAGAATGTTGTCAAGAGTAAAAGGGTTGAATCTTTATTTTTAATATTTACAGTAATACCATTTCAAGTCGTTTGAACAAATTACAATTTTGGTTCTTTTGTGTCTAATAACTGGGACACTCTTTTGTTAAAAGTATGCTTGGATCCTTTTTGAATATACTCAGTAAATGACCACCATGGTGGTGTTGTCGAAAGGTAGTATTACATGGATTCAAATCCAAAATAAAGGGAGACATACAAGTCAGATCTTGTGGTGCTGTGATGCCTACATTGATTAACCAATATTTAGAGTTAGCTAGAATTAGCTAAGATTCAGTTAGAAAAGCAAAAAAGAACTTGATTTAAAAGAAAAATGAGAAGAGCAAAAAAAGTGAGCAGTGGAAAGGGAGGGGGGAAAAAAAAGATATAAAAGTGGCATTAAAAATGCTTCAATTCCAAAAAGGGAAAACAGACATGACTCGATCACAACAAAGGAAGAAAGAAAATAGTTCAGAGGATGATTTTGATTCTAGTGAGAAATTTAACTAGAAATTTGCATTCAGTGTCCAAATTCACAAAGAATGAAGTTGGAAATGGTTCACCTAAGAAGATAGCTGTGAAATTGAAGTGGAAGACCATCACAGACTAAAAGTCAAACAAAAATCTATCATGAAAAGTCATAACTTACAAACCAAAAATGCTGGAAATACAAGATCTGTGGTGCCTGACCAGTTAACATTTCCAGTTCATGGTTTTCATTAAAAATGGGAAGTGTCTGAGATGCAAAAGGTTTCAAATGAGTACACAGGTGGGGGCTGAACACAATGTAAAGTTGTCATAAGGCTAAAGGAAGGAGAGATTAAATTACAAAAATGAATCATGATGTAAGGTGAAAGTGTACGGAAATGGGACAAATAAAGGAACAAGAAACATCTGGACATGACGACCAGGCCAGATGAGGATGGCAAATTTCCTCCCCTAAAGTTTAAGAGTGAAACAGAGTTTCTTACGGCAGTTTCACAGCACCATTACTAAGTTTATTCAATGAGAGATCGAAATTTACAAAATTAATGTATTCTGCTCAGACATCACCAATGCAAATAAAAATGCAAGTTAGATTTACAGTGGGCTACAAATCATCAGGTCAGCATCAGAAGGAAAAGTTGCCCTTGTTATGAGGTAGGAAGGGGACATGAAAACCAAAAAAGTACTTTAATGGGAAACTTAAGTCAAACAAAAAAACAACTGGGAAAACCAGGCTGTGATTTCTTGATCAACTGTGAACTCATATGGGCATACTGAATAGCACAGATGGTGTTGGCTAGGTCCAATATACTACATTCCATTCTAATGGATTCCACAGAATATCTTTACATAAGCTTGCATTTTATTTGATGTTATTTACTCATCCAGGCAGTCAGCAATTTCACACGAACATGAAAGGAAAATCATTTAAATTTATAAACTGACAAGTTAAAAAAATAAAGCCAGTATAAAGTTTAGCAGTGCACATGTTTAACTTACAGCAGCAGGTTCAGCATGTATTCTGAAATAGATGTTCTATACAGTTATATATTGTTAGCACTGGTGGTTACAGAAACAGTTAGTTAATGTACTACAATTGAAAAGTTTATGTTTTTTTCAAATCTACTTTGTCATTAAGTTGTAAATATATACAGCTGTTCAATGGCTTCTGTATCCTAATGGACAATATTATTTGAACAGGAAGCTGCTGAGATGGTATGCTCCATTACCCAACAATGCAAAGGAGTATAATTAGAACTAAATTCATTGCACTGAATACAGATTTGCATCAGCATTTAGCTTGTACATTGTTTTGTTTTTTACATATACAGGACAGAGGTTATTTGATGGTTTTGAATTAATAAGTTTCACCACACTGATCCAAGTCCAGTATAAGACTCTTTAGTAACGAATTAACAATTTCAGGGAAGAATCTCCAGTAATGACATAGTTACTTTAGGTAGTTTCTATATAAAATGCCATTAGTAAGAATAGGGTTGGTTAGACGAGTCATGGCAGCCAGTACATTGAGGACCATAGGAAAGCTATTCATGCTTCTGATATTTCAGATTTACTGAGTGCTATGGCCAGTTCCAAATCCTCTTGTTCTTGCTGATTTAGTCTCGCTAGTCGTTCCTTCTCTGCTCGTTCACTTTCTCTTTTCGCCCATTCTATTTGGTCTTCCTCACTGGGGTACTGAAACAGTTAAAAAAAAAACTGAACAGAAACATACAGACTATTTCTTACAAACAGCACATTTAAAATGAAGACAGTGGTGTGTTTTAAACTAACAATAATGGCTCTGCTAATAAGTTAAGAAAATCCAAAGTCAGTTTACCTTCAGACGTACACAGGTGGCAATGGATTGGCAACAACTACAAACATTATTAGTTCATAACTTTGAGTGGCCTAAAATTTAATGTGGAGAACACCAGCTACAAGTTAGCAATCTCCATTGTTAACCAACAGTTTCAGTGTTCAAATAAAAGCAAAATACTGCAGATGTTGGAGATCTGAAGTAAAAACAAAGAGTTGGAGGAACTCAGGAGGTGTGGCAGCATCTGTGAAGACAGGAACAGTGTTTAAGATGTTACCTTTGAACTGAATTAGTGTCATGGGACTCGAAATGTTAATCGTTTCTCTCTTCATAAATTTTGCTCGATCTGCTGAGTTTTTCCAGCACGGTGTTTTGTTTCAGAGTGTTTAGTGGTTCCTGATGAAATTTATGCAATTCCAACATCAGATTCAATTGCTTCTGATAGATTTGCTTTGGAATGGAAAGGCATACACAGGACAACGTAACAAGGAAGAACACTTAACTAGTTACTGTACAGCTTAAAAATTTGACCACCTTTCCCAAAATGTTCATAGTACTTCCCTCTACAAACTGGTAATTACTTGAAACAAAACATATCCTGTTTAACTCCAAGTTCAAATTATTTCCTGTCTTTTATTGTTAGCAAACTCTTAAATAATGCTGCACATTTGTACATGGAAATGCACAATCTATTCGTTTTCTCCAATTTTTGAAAAACTTGTTGTCAGATTCTCCCCACTTCCACGCCAACAGAGGGCAAGTAGCATGGTGTCCATCACAATAGAGTACTGTTTATTCAGAGTACTAAAGTAGGGAAATTTTGAGCAGTGAGGGAACATGTATTGTTCTTGTATTTAAAGAAAAATATCAGGGAAACATCAGAGGGAAAACAGTGCAGTCCAGAAACTTAGAACTCGTGATGACCAGAAAGAATGAAGCAATGTGGAGATGCAGAAGAAGCTAGAATTAAAGCAGAACAGAGATCTGGGAGATTGTGAGACTGGGTGAGATAAGAGATTGGGCAGGGTGAGGCCATGAAGTTATCTGAAAACAAATCAAAAGAACTTTAAAATCAATTTGTTGCTTGACTGGGAGCCAATGGTAGTCATGATAGTGGAAGAGGACCTGCTTAACTTTAAGGTATTGGAGCCAGGGCTTTGGATGATCGAGTTTACAGAAGGTAGAATCTGGATGATCAGCCCAGAGTACATTGGAATAGTCATATCTCCAGGTAACAAATGCACAAGCAAAGGTTTCAGCAGCAGACAGGCCATGGCACAGAGGTGCAAATAGGCTTAGTGATGGCATGAATGAGATTGGAAGCTCATCCAAGGATCAATTATGACCTGAACAGATTGGCTTAATCACAGACTGTTGCCAGGGAGACGTGTGGAATCTGTAGCCAGGAAATGGAGTTTGGAACAGGGGCCAAAAACGATGCCTTCAGTCTTCTTACTATTTAACTGGAGACATTTTTTATTCACCCAGTAATCAATGACAGACAAGCAGTCTGAAAATTTAACAACAGTGCAGAAATCAAGAGAAGTGCAGGTGAAGTACCTCTGTATTTCATCAGAATACATAGGTGAACTGTCATTGTGTCTTCAGATGAAGTCACTGAAAAGCAGCAGGTGGATGAGAAAGTGGAGGGTCAAGGATAAATTTTCGGGGAAACACTAGAGGTAGATGGTGTGGGAATAGGAAGAGAAACAATTGCAAGTGACTCTCTGGTTACCATTGCGCAGATAAGAGTGGAACTAGGTGAGGGCATTCTGAATCAACTGTTTGACAGTCGAAAGGCATTAAATGAGGATCGTGTGATAACCTTATCATAGGCTTCAAGCAGGTTGCAAAGGTCAAGAAGGGAAGGATTACCTTTGTAACAGTGACACACAATGCCATTTGTGACTCATAAGAAGAGTTTCAGTACTGCAGCAGCAGAACCTGTTACAGGGATTCAGATCTGGGAAAGCTGGAAAGAGATTTGGCAGACCAACATGTTTATGGACTTTAAAAAGAAAAGAGAGATTGAAAATGGAACAGTGGTTTAAGAGATGGAACCTTTAAACAATATCAGTTCATATGGGGGACAATAGGGGAAGCTGTGAGATCAGCAGTTTAATGGAAATAGAATGGAGGAAACAGAGAAGATTTTCATAAACAAGTTGACATAAGGGAGACAGTAGAGAAACCGCAGAAAGCCATTCTCACCTATTCTAGACTACATGTGAGCCCCAAAGCAACATGACTGACTCTCAACTCAGCCTAGCCAGCCAGTCAGTCAATTAGGGATAGGCAACAAATTCCAGCTACATCTACACTACAAGGTAGAATTGAAAACTAGGATAAAAAGGTAGAAATGAGAGTTTGAGCAATACAGCAACTGTGGAAATGCTGTGGTGAGAAGACAGATGATTGGCAATTTGAAGTAAAGTGTTTTTCCCAGAAACAGATAACAAAGGGTTCGGGTTAGAACGGGGAAGGGAGATGTGGGTAGCAAGTGATACAAGGAAATAATCAGAAATGGTCTTATCTTTGATTGATACTGTGCGATTAGCAAAACTTTGTGAGATGGCAAGGTCAAGGAGGTGTGGTGAATATTGTTTGCAGACTTATCATGGAGGGAGGGATTGAGGGAGGCAGATCATGATGAATTGAGATCAAGGTTGAAACCACAGAGAATAAGAAGTAATTTGGTGATGAAGTCGAGAGAGGAAAGACTATAAAGATTTCGATGAGAATTAGACCATTCTGCCCATTAAGTCTGCTCCACCATTTGATCATGGCTAATATGTTTCTCAACCTCATTCTCCTGACTTCTGCCCATGACCCTTGCTCACCTTACCAATCAGTAGTAAGCGATGAACATAATTCTGTGTGATAACATTTTTCTTGTAGTGGGGAGGGCAGAACGTTTATTAAATTAGGAGAAAAATAACAGGCAGTTGGTGAGGTTTGAAATAATTATGGAGAACCGGCATGGATTTATAAAAGGCAGATCATGTTTGACTAATCCAAGTGAATTTTGAAGAAGTAACCGAGAAGGTGGATGAAGGGACGCAGTGGATGTTGTTTAAAGGAATGTTAAGGAAGTGCCTGATAAAACATGATATAAAATGGTTGGATAACAAATTTGAAGCTTGTGGAATAAGAGGGTCAGTGTTAACTTCAATAAAAATATCAGACTGAAGGTCAGAAGTCAGCAAGTTGTGAGAAATGGTTGTATTTTAGACACAAGGATGGTGGACAATAGTGTTACTTAATGGTCCATGCCAGGACCACTTGTTCGTTGAATATGTAACAAAATTAGATAGGAGATTAGAGGGGAAAACGTCAATTTGTAATTTATACCAAAATCAGTGGTGTAGCAAACAGTGAGGGTGGTACCAACTGATAGCAACAGAACATAGACTAGTAGTATGAGCAGACAAGTAGCAGATGAAATTTAATACAGAGAAGTTGGTAATTTATTTTGGCAGAAGGGAAAGGAAAACAATATATACTTAAAACCACAGTTCTAAAGAGTGTACAAGGGCAGAGAATTTATGTAGATCTTTGAAGGTATTAAGGCAAAGAGAAAAGTCAGAAAATCATTAAAGATTTTGAGTTTCATAAAGAAATCAACAACTAAAGTAGGAAAGTTATGCAGAACTTGTATAAAACTGGTTAGGTGACAACAAGAGTACTCTATCTAGTTCATGACATTTTAGCAAGGATGAGGGGTCCTGGAGATAACGCAGAGGAGATTTGCCAGAACAGCTCCAAGATTAGGTTGCAGAATTGAAACTACTTTACTTAAAGGAGTTCAAGAGGAGATCTGATGGAACTTTATTAGGGGACAACAAGTTTAGACAAGGTAGCCAACAAAGAGCTGTTCTCATTTGCTGTTGGTACAAGGACTAAGGCACAAGCCATTTAAATGTCTTGGGCAAGACATAATTTATTTTTAAAACACAAGGACTAGTAATGACCTGGAACTTGCTGCCCATGAGGGTAGTACAAACAGAGACTATCAATGTTTTCAAAGAAATAAACTTGCAGGGCTTTCAGGAAAGACTTTTGGAATGAGACTGAGTGGAGTGCTTAACAGAAAGCTGACATGGACGTAATGGGCCACATAGCCTCCTCTTGCACCACAGTGACTCCAGATTTTTTCCAAGTCAAGAGATTGCCACAGCTTTAGAATGGACAGAAATCTTGATTGCAGACTTTGGCAAATGTTGCTGGCAGATCTCTGAAAGGGAACACTTTCAAGAGTGACCTGCCGGTGGCCAGCTCTTCCAATTTCTCTCTTTTTCTATCTCTGACAACACCGCAAGATGACCAAACAAGTATTTTGGGAAACCCTGAGAAAGAATGGATGTTCTGCCAATTCTTGATATGGCACACAAATTCGCAATCAGCAGAAGCTCCATGCTGCCATAAATATGTAAATAAAATTCCTGAAAGACACCAATGTTTACCATAAATTATCAACACACACAAACAAAAACACACACACTTACAGCATTGAAGTTTGCAAAATTTGTGATGTCTCCAACATCTTTACTTGGAGAAGTAGGAGCAAATGGGTCAAGATGATTCTCTTTATGGAATGAATCCCCTGAATTAAACGGATGGAAAGGATCATTTAACTTGGAGTTGGATGATTCTGATTTTACAAGGGAAAGTCTTTTACCTACATTTAAAATAAACATACAATAATATTAAGTGCCTTTGCCATTAAAACTCTCAACATCCCATGATATGGAAGAGTTGAAATGGTTAATTTTTAAAATCAATTAAAATTTGATGAGGAGGAAAATGAACTGTCATTGTAAATTTGGAAAAAAAGAAACTTCCTCAAGTGAGCAAAAGATACATGTTTAACTTTGTCTAAAAAATTGTAAGAAACATAATTAACATTTGAAACAAAATTAACATTTTTGAAGTCCTCCTATTCACTTACCAGGTGGTGGAGGAGGGGGTCTTGTTGGAGTGCCAACTTTTGGCGGTAATGCTGGAGGAACCTCATCAATTTTTATAGGTTCATCTGTGAATCCAGTTTTTCCAAATGCATCATTACCAGGGTCTATTCCTACAGCAGAACTGAATGGATCTGCCTGGTCAGACTGAAGTTTTATATTCAGAGAAAGCAGAGTGAAAAATGTTACCAGTGATATGAAACATACTGTCAAAGATATCAAGTGGGCTTAATACAGCCAAAATGAACTCATACAAATGTCCAATGAGTTGAATCAGTACAACATGTTTTCATGCAGTAATATCAAAGATTGAACCTGTCCACTTTCTTGTATCAGTAAACCAACTTATCCGAATTATTCAATTTCTCTCCAATATAGTAAGGCCACGAGTCGATCAAAGAGCACACATAGCATTACATTTTTTAAGAGACCTTACTAACCGCATCCTTGTTCTTTTAAATATCCGCCATCAAAATTGAAAAGAGTCTATAATAGATAAGCCGTGCCAAATGTTTTAACTAGAAACCTCCCAATACTGTGAATGTTAGGTGTCTATTGATTACATTAGGAAGGATAGCAAATTGAATCTTTTTTGTTCTTTGGAGAAACTCCAAAGCCTATCTAACAAGGCGACTCTTCACTTTGCTCCTCTTGAATCTTTTTACTTCAATTCATTCTCTGAATATGAGCTACTTTGGAAATGTTGTCAATGTTCTAATGCAAGACACACAGCAACAGGTTTGTGCACAGCAAGTTTGCAAAAACAGCAAAGTAGGAAAATGCCAGCTCACTGGTTTCTTGATTGAAGGATAAATACTGAAATAGTACATGGGATCTTTTGTATCCATCAGAAAGTGTAGAGGTACCTTGGTATAATGTCTCACCTGAAAAGTAACACCTGACATAAGTGCACACCCTCAATACTGCACAGAATTGGGCAAAATCTTGGCAGATGGAATATAGTGTGGAAAGATGGAAAAACAGGTACTTTGGCCAAGAAAAATAGAGGAGCTGAATATTAAATAAATGGACAAAGACTGCAGACAACTGCAGCAGAGAGAGATTTTGGGGTTCTTGTATGCTAGCTTATTGTGATAGGAAGGCAAATGGAATGTTGGCCTTTATTTCCAAGGGAATGGAGTACAAAATTAGGGAAGTTTCAGTAAAACTGTGCAAGCTACTAGTTATATCACCACGTGTACAGCAGCAATGTGGTTGACTCTTAACTGCCCTCTGGACAATTAGGGATGGGCAATAAATGCTGGTCCAGCTAGGGTGCCCTCATCATGTGTATAACTAAATAAAAATCATCTAAGGAAAGATAGACTGGCATTGGAGGCAGTGCAGAGAAGGATAACCAAGTTAATGCCAGGTATAAAAAGATTTTCTTGTTAGGAAAGGTGGATGCGCTTGGGCTTGTACTTATTGGAGTTTCGGAGAATGAGAAGTGCCGTAATTGAAATATACAAGATTCTTAAGGAGTTGACAGGGTATATGCAGAGAAGCTATTTCCACTCTGTGAAAGTCTTGCAGCAGAGGGCATAATCTCAGAGTAAGAGGTTGTCAAATTAAGATCGAAACAACGGGGGGAATTTCTTCTCTCAGAGGGATAAATTGATGGAATTCTTTACTACAGAACGCTGTTGAAACCAGGTGATTCAAGTGTATTTAGGGCTGAGAAATAGATTTTTAATCAGTAATTGAATCAAGGGGTTGTCTCAAAAAGGCAAATAAAGTGGAGTTTAAGTCATCAGATCAGGCATGATCTCATTGACTGGCAGCACAGACTGGATGGGCCAAATGGTCTACTATGTGTAATGGCCAGTTAAAATTTTTATTCTCCTATTGGACTTGAAAAGACAACCTTCTCACTCGGAAACAAAATGCTACAAACTGCAACACGGAAAAGGAGATGGTGTCCCATTGTTCTTTCACACATTCCCTTATCTGCTTAAAGCCTGTTAAATCTCTAACTTTCTCCAGTTCTGAGGAAACAAGAATGACCTTAAATTCTGTTGTTATCCTCGGAGATGCTATCATACCTGCTGAATATTCCCGTAATTTCATGTTCTTATTGAAGAATCTGCAGTATTCTGCTTTTAAATTTATATTACAGTAGTTTGTTTTGTTACAGTCTGATGTGCCAACATATTTATTAAACCAAATTAAACAAGGAGGATGCACTTAGGTTGCTCAAGCCAGTGCAAAATACTGGAGCTTCTTCAGAAGCCATGTTAGAAAGAAGCTTCAAATGCTTTTAGTTTTTTTAAAATATGTTTAGATAAAAAAAGCCTGAAGGAAAGTACAGCATCACCACATTATTGTCAATGCAATTACGCTCAAGCCAAATATGCACCAAGCAGCATCTTTCATAGCTGAAAAGAATTCTAAAGGTAAACATGGGCAAAAGGGTAGCCATATTTAGAACAGAGAGCATAGAACATAGAGCAGTACAGCACAGTACATGCCCTTCGGCCCATGATGTTGTGCCAAACTTTTACCCTAATCCTAAGGTCTATCTAACCTCCATCCCTACCTTATACTATCATCCATATGCCGATCTAATAGCCGCTTAAATGCCCCGAACGAGGCCGACTCCACTACCCTCGCCGGCAATGCATTCCACGCCCTGACCACTCTCTGAGTAAAGAACCTACCTCTGATGTCTCCCCAATATCTACCTCCACTCACTTTAAAACTATGCCCCCTCCTAATATCTACCTCCACCCTAGGAAAAAGTGTCTGGCTGTACACTTTATGTATACCTTTGATCATTTTGTATACCTCTATCAAGTCACCTCTCATTCTTCGTCATTCTAAAAAGAGAAAAGCCCTAGCTCTCTCAACCTTTCCTCATAAGACCTTCCCTCCATTCCAGGCAATATCCTGGTAAATCTCCTCTGCACCTTTTCCAACGCTTCCACATCTTTCCTGCAATGAAGCGACCAGAACTGGACACAATACTCCAGATGTGGCCAAACCAGGCTTTTGTACAGCTGGAGCACAACTTCACGGCTCTTGAACTCAATCCCTCTATTCATGAAAGCTAACACACCATACGCCTTCTTAACAACTCTATCCACCTGGGTGGCTGCTTTCAGAGAATGGTGAACACGAACACCAAGATCCCTCTGCTCCTCCACACTGCCAAGAATCTTTCTGTTAACCCTGTATTCTGCTTTCAAGTTTGTCCTTCCAAACTGAATCACCTCACACTTTTCAGGGTTAAGCTCCATCTGCCACTTCTCAGCCGAGCTTTACATCCTCGCAATGTCCCTTTGTAACCTAGAACAGCCCTCCCCACTGTCCACAATGCGACCCACCTTCGTATCGTCCGCGAAGTTACTAATCCACCCTTCCAATCCTTCATCCAAATCATTTACAAAAATCACAAATAGAAGAGGACCCAGAACAGATTCTTGTGGTACACCACTCGTAACTGAGCACCATGTTGAATATTTCCCGTTCACTACCACCCTCTGTCTTCTAAGGGTCAGCCAATTCTGAATCCAATCTGCCACATTTCCCCCTATCCCATGCCTCCTTACCTTCTGCATGAGCCTACCATGGGGAACCTTATCAAGCGCCTTACTTAAATCCATGTATACAACATCCACTGCTCGGTCACCTCCAAAGAATTCAATAAGGTTTCTGAGGCATGATCTACCCCTCACAAATCCACGCTGACTATCACAAATCAAACTGTGCCTTTCCAAGTGATCATAAATCCTATTTCTCAGACCCCTTTCCAATAATTTGCCCACTGCTGACATAAGACTAACTGGCCTGCAATTTCCAGGGTTATCCCTATTCCACTTTTTGAACAAGGGAATGACGTATGCCTCTCTCCAATCTTCCGGCGCTATACCCGTGGACAGTGAGGACGAAAAGTTCATAGCCAAAGGCCCTGCGATCTCTTCCCTCGCTTCCCATAGAATCCTTGGATAAATCCCATCAGGCCCAGGGGACTTATCTATCTTCAACTTGCTCAAAATTCCTAGCACATCTTCCTTACTAACATCGACCTCCTCTAGCCTACCAGCCAGATTGACACTGTCCTCCTCTACAACTAGGTCCCTCTCAGTTGTGAATACCAAAGAAAAGTATTCATTAAGGACCTCTCCTATCTCTTTAGGCTCCGTGCACAAATTCCCTTTACAATCCTTGATCGGCCCTACCCTTTCTCTGGTCCTTCTCTTATTCCTCACCGACGTGTGAAAAGCCTTGGAGTTTTCCTTGATCCTATCTGCCAAGGTTTTCTCATGCCCCCTTATAGCTCTCCTGAGCCCTTTCTTCAGCTCCTTCCTGGATAACTTGTATCCCTCTAGAGCCTTTTCCGTTCCTTGTTTCCCAAAACTTACATTAGCATCCTTCTTCCTCTTAACCAGTCATTCGACCTCTCTTGAGAACCAAGGCTCCCTCACTCGACCGCATCTTCCCTGCCTGCTAGGACAAACATATCCAGCACATGCAGTATGCATTCCTTAAACAATCTCCACATTTCAACAGTACTCTTGCCTGATAGCATCTGTTCCCATTTCATGTTACCCAGTTCTTGCCTAACAGAATTGTAATTACCCTTCCCCCAATTATAAATCTTACCCTGCTGTATGTACCTATCCTTTTCCATGACTATTGTAAAAGTAACAGAGTTATGATCGCTACTGCCAAAATGCTCTCCTACCAACAGGTCTAACACTTGGCCCGGTTCATTGCCAAGCACCAAATTCAAAGTGGCCTCTCCTCATGTTGGTCTATCTACATACTGTGTCAGGAATCCTTCCTGAACACACTGGACAAAATACTTTGGACAATATTTGAAGCTTCACTATTCCCAACAGCAAAACCAGCTCAATATTCCATACTGCAGATGCTGGAAATTCAAAATAAGAACACAAAATGCTGAAAACATTCAGCAGGTCTGGTTCCTTCTCCAGAAAGAAACTCTCATCTCAACCTGGAATGTTAATTTTGCTTCTTTCTCCACAGACGCTGCCAGACATGCTCAGTGCTTCCAGAAGTTTCTGTTTCTATTTCAACATTCCATCAAGCCTAACTTTCAAGTGCATTAATAAGGAAACATTTAACTGTGGGATGAGGAGATTGTGAAACAAAATATTAAAAATAACAAGAAAATATTCTAAGTATAAATTATGCATACATTTTAAATTAATTACCTGTGATAACGTGTTAAAATCAGCAAACCCACTGCCAAACGAATCACTTCCAAACACGGAGACAAAAGGGTCTGCAACTGCAACAGACAGAGATAAAGTTATCAAAAAATCACATCACAATGAAAGCCATTTTCTTGATCCTGATGTTGGCTTCATTAAAAATGCAATTCAAAGGAACAAATAAGGTCTCAGGCTCTAGATTTTTCTCCAAATGGTTTATGATTGTAGGTAAATGGTTTATTTACTGAAATAAACTGTAAAGATTGATATTCACGCTTAATTGAAAAAGATAATTAAAGCTTAAAACTTCTGGACAAATTTCACAAAAGCCAAAGAACTGTGAATGCTGAAAATCAGAAACAAAAACAAATTGCTGGGAAAACTCAGCAGGTCTGGAAGCATCTGTGGAGAGAAGGCAGAGTTAATGTTTTAGGTTCAGTGATGCAGAAGTGTTGTTGAAATAAAAATTCACATTATAAAATTATTCTTTTATCAAGTGAACATACACATTAATATTTTACAACACCATTGCACATCAAGGTGCACATTCATGTCTATTTTGTGAATGTATGTATTACATTGATAGTTTTAAGGACATGATAAATTCAGAATCAATACGTATTCCACAATGTAATATTGCTGTTCACCTGCTGAGCTCAAGCCAGCTCCACATTTCCTGCAACAGTGACAATGCTTCAAAAGTACTTTACTGGCTGTACAGTGATTTCAAATATTGTGAAATTGTGAAAGAAACGAAACAAATGCAAGGTCTTTATTTTACATTCAAACTTCATAGTCATTGTGCATTATTTTTGTGATGTCCCCTACTTATGAACGTGCAACTTATGAACGCTCGTACCTGCATACATATGCCCATCATTTTAAATATCTGACAAATAGGGGGAGGCAACGGCCTAGTGGCATTATCGCTGGACTGTTAATCCAGAGACCCAGATAACGTTCTGGGGACCCAGATTCAAATCCCACCACGGCAGAGGGTGGAATTTGAATTCAATGAAAAATATCTGGAATTAGGAATCTAAAGAAGACCATAATTCCATTGCCGATTGTCAGGAAAAACCCATCTGGTTCACTAATGTCCTTTAGGGAAGAAAACTGCCATCCTTACCTGGTCTGGCCTACATGTGACGGTAGATCCACAGCAATGTGGTTGACTCATAACTGCCCTCTGGGCAATTAGGGATAGGCAATTAATGCTGCCTAGCCAGCAATGCTCTGACCCCATGAATGAATAAAGAAAAAAAAAACATTTCCTACATTTACAAGAATCTGCTTTATATTGTCCTGCATTGTGTTCCAACTTGCAAATCGGCTCAGGAACAGAAACTGTTCGCAACGTGGGGACTTCCTGTCCTTTCAAGTCTACACTTAAACGTTACTTGATTGGAGCGCTGAACTTTTGATTCCACTTTGCTTTCATGAAGTGTGCATTCATATATTCAGGTATTAAAAAATTGAAGCAGAAACACTAGTTTAGGGGGTTGAGGCACTTTGCCTTGTTTGAATACAAAGCTTTGAAATTAGTTTGATCTAAGATTAGGGGTGGTGGTGGGGAGTTGGCAAAAAAAAGTGTGCGCGCCGGAGGGGAGGCAAAAAGAGAGGGAGAAAGCGCCAGAGGGGGTTGAGATGGGGGGGCGTATTAGAGAGATGTAGAAAGAGAGAGAGAGAGAGAGAGAGAGAGGAAAGCTAAAATGGAAGCGAATCCCTGCATTTTAGAGACCATGTTACTTGATATTTCTGCCAGAGGGCGTAACTTTTAACAGGTTATGAATAGCATTAACTTGGTTCAGTCACAATCAGCTGTGTACCACAGGAGGAGAGATCATATCAAGAGTGAGATGCAGCCCAAATGCGCATATAGTTCTGGGAATCTGGAGGCAGTGTGGGAATAGATTTGGTAAAATCTCTCTTTTCCCTCTCCATTTTAAGAGTTTAGAATTTGCCAGTCTCGATAAAGGGTTAACAAAAGGTCGGTGACTCAGCTGACTGACGAACAGTTATCAATCACCTCAAGTCTGAATTGGGCCTTAATAGGTGTTCATTACGAGTGAAGTTTAGTGCTAGTCATCTCAGCTCTATTTACTAAGGGCCTGTTGAAAGCACATCTTCAGTAGGCGTTCATGTTCAGGAAGGAGAGAACACATCCAGAGCAAGTCACTGCCCGAGTGAGTATGGAGACAGTGTGGGAATTTGGTGCAGAGAGGAAGAGGTGCTTTTTGTTTGTTTTTTTGGCTCAGTTTATAAGGAAATCAGGACTGGGAGCTAAATATACAAGGATATACATCACACCTAAAAGAGAGGCAGGTGGGCAGAGGGGGTGGGGTTGCCTTATTAGGAAGAAATGAAATTAAATCAATAACAAGAAACAAAGTAGGATCAGATGATGCAGAATCTGTGTGGGCAGAGTTAAGAAATGCAAAGGTAAAGAAAAACGATGATGCGAGTTATGTACAAGTCTCCAAACAGTGGTCAGGATGTGGAGTACAAGATACACCAGGAGAGAGAAAAGGCGTGTAAGAAAGGCAAGGTTACAGTGGTCATGGGGGATTTCAATATGCAGGTGGACGAGGAAAATCAGGTTGGTAGTGGATTGTAATAAAGAGAATTTTGTGGAATGTCTATAAGTTTTTTTGGAGCAGCTTGTGGTGGAGCCCACTAGGGAATAGGCAATTCTGGATTTAGTCTTGTGCAATGAGGCCGACTTGATAAGACAGCTTAAAGTGAAGGAACCCTGAGGAAGCAGTGACCATAACATGATAGAATTTACTCTGCAATTTGACAGGGAGAAGGTGACATCAGATGTAATGGTATTATGGTTGAATAAAGGTAACTACAGAGGCATAAGGGAAGAGTTGATCAGAATTGTCTGCGAGAGGAATGGAGTAGGATAGACAGTGGAACAGTAATGCAGGAGTTTCTGGGAGTAATTCAGGAGACACAGTAAAAATTCATCCCCTGGAAAAAGCATACTAAAGGGAGGATGAGGCAACCATGGCTGACAAGTGGAGTCAGGGATAGCATAATAAAATAAAAAACATACAATGTGGTGAAAAAAAAGTTGCTGGAAAAGTTTAGCAGGTCTGGCAGCACCTATGAAGAGAAATCAGAGTTCATGTTTTGGGTCTGGTGACCCTTACTCAGAATTGATGGGAGCATGGAAAATGTCCGTTTATATGCAGAAGATAAGCTGGGGGGAAGAGGGTAAGGAGTAAATCATAGGTGGGAATACAGCCCAACGAGACAGAAGACCAGTTGGACAGACAAAGGAGTGGATGACAATCTGGCTCGGAAGATGAGTAGCTCTTAATGGAGACCTCAGTGGCTAACAATTGGTAGTGTGTAATGGCAGACTGTGAAAACAAGGCTTGGTGTGTCGGGTAGGACATGAGAGTATTCAGGCCCTAAAATTATCGAACTTGACATTGCGTCTGGAAAACTGCAGGGTCCCCAAGCAGAAAACGAGGTGCTGTTCTTCCAGCTTGCGCTGAGCTTCACTGGACCACTGCAGCAAGTCTGAAACAGATGTTGATCAGGCAACAGGGTGGTATGTTAAAGTGGCAGGTAACTAGAGACTCGGGTCTTTTTGCGGACAGAACGCAGATGTTCTGCAAAGCGATCACCCAGTCTACGCTTCATTTCCCCAATGTAGAGGGGACCACGTTGTGAGCAGTGAATGGAGTCGACTAGATTGTGGAAAGTACAGGTGCAGTGCTGCTTCACCTGGAAGGTATGTTTGGGCCCTTGGATACTGGAGAGGGAGGAAGTAAAAGGGCAGGTGTTACACCTTCAGCGGTTGTGGGGGGTGAGTTGAGTGAGGGAAAAGCGGACCAGGATGTCCCAGAGGCAACAGTCCCTGCGGAAGGCAGTCAAGGGCAGGCAGGGACATATGTGTCTGACTGTGGCATCTCACTGGAGGTGCTGGAAATGGTGGCTGATGATCTTCTGGATGTGGATATCGGTCGAATGGTAGGTAAGGGCAAGAGGAACCCTATCGCTGTTGTGGGAGGGAAGAGAGGGGTTGAGGGTGGAAGTGCGAGAGATGGGTCAGACCCGGTTGAGGACCCTGTCAACAATGGTGCTGTGGAATCCTTGGGTGAGGAAGAAGGTGGACATTTTGGAGATTCCCTTGTCGAAGTTGGCCTCATCGGAACATATGTGATGGAGACAGAGGAACTGAGAGAATGGAATGGAGTTTTTATACGAAGTCGGGTGTGAGGATGAACATCCGCATTCTGCCCGCAAAAGACCCTGAGCTTCCAGCTGCCTGCCACTTTAACACACAACCCTGTTCCCTGGCCAACATCTCTGTCTCAGGCTTGCTGCAGTGTTCCAGCGAAGCTGCCCAATAGAGTCAAATACTTGTTTCCCTTGTAAAAAATACAAGCAGCCATTTCTAGATTGCTAATTAGTCACAAGCAGCTAGTATCTAACACGTTGGACAATACATCATCAGGGAAAGAGAGAGGGAGAGAGAAATTGGCAGGATGGAATTGGAGATATTGAAGGGATAGAAAGAATAAACTCACTGTGACATCATCAAAATAGTACTAAAAAGGCTCCTTGTGAACAATGCAGAAATCTATTATTATGTATGCATGCATGGGTTTGTTCCTAAATTTGTAACCATATTAATAGCTAAGGATAGATATTTGTAGATGCATTCTTAAATTTAACTTTCTCACCTGTTTCAATCATGGATGAGACTGTACCACCACCAGGAGCAAATGGATCATTGGCTTTCATAGTTTCAATCTAAAATCAAATATATATATAATATGATAATTCTGAATCATTTAATTTTATAGAGACACATACTTGAATTCAGAAATAAAATGTCACTTCTTTTGGGTGTGCATCTAAAACAAAAACAGTTATTCTGTTTGGTTTGAGTTAGAACTGGACTTGTAGAATCAGGTTTAAAACTATAATTTTGCTCTGCACTTGATAATTATCCAATGACTCTTAAGATTGATCAGAATTTCATTCAAGTCAAAATGCAATCTCCCAAGTACTCAAGATAAAAACAGAGCTGTTTGTCAGTTTCAATCTGAAGTTCAAAAATATAACTAGTTTAAAAAAAATGTCTACAGTGGAAGAATTAATTTCAACAAAGAAACCCAAAAATCTAGGCCCGAAACGTCAGCCTTCCTGCTCCTCTGATGCTGCTTGGCCTGCTGTGTTCATCCAGCTCGACACCTTGTTATCTCAGATTCTCCAGCATCTGCAGTTCCTACTATCTCCAAAAATCATCAACTTGATTTTGCAAACCTTGCATTTGTGACTAAGTGGAATTGATGTGCTCAAAAGTAGATAGAAGTGGGTTCATGCCTGAAACTTACTGAAAGACAAGTTCCTACTTTCATTTTGGGTATCTGGAGAGGAATCCAACGATCAGAATCTAGGTTACCAGAAATCTGCTTCCATGGCCAAGTGCAGAACTCAAAGTCACTTCAGCAAAATACCTCGGTATTATCAACAAGTAATGTTCCCAACCCTTCAGGTGCAATAAACGTGCAAATAGAGAATTAGAAAATAAGTAAGTACAATAACTTAAAAATATGCAGAACTAAAAAGTGGTGTTCACTGAGTTTCTTGTATTAATTGTTGAAAAATATTCTGAAGACAGGTTGAGTATGATCTTTCTGAACACCTTACACAAATGATCATTCTTTAGCAAACGTAGGCAGCTTATTTGACCACAAGAGTTGTTGAATGTATTTTCCTCTCACTTTATGCACAGATGTTTGCCTTTACTATCTTATTCATTGGATAATTATCAAGTGCACAAACTTGGGCTAATTTTAGCCGCAGGAATTCTAAGACAAATTAAAATAGTTTGTCTAACACTAAGGATCATCATAGATCATAGAATCCCTACAGTGTGGAAACAGGCCCTTCGGCCCAACAAATCCACACCAAACCTCAAAGCATCCCACCCAGAACCACCCCGCTATAACCCTCCTAATCTACACAACCCTCAACACTACGGGCAATTTAGCATGGCCAATCCACCTCGCCTGCACATCTTTGGACTGTGGGAGGAAACCCATGCAGACACGAGGAGAACGTGCAAACTCCACACAGACAGTCGCCCGAGGGTGGAACTGAACCTGGGTCCATGGCACTGTCAGGCAGCAGTGCTAACCACTGAGCCACTGTGCCGCCCCCATAAACAGGACACCCAGATATGAACTGGGACCTCTTGATGTACTCTATTAACTCAGCACATTAATAACTGAATTTTATTTGTATGTATACATCAAATAATCCATTCTGGGACCACAGTTAAGTTTTAGCATCATATACAACTGTGTGGAAATCCTTTCAGGACACAGCAATGCATCCACATAGTCATCAATAATCTACTACTTAGCATGAAATAATTTCTCAACCATTTGGAATTGACCCTAGTCCTCTGCTCATTATACTTTAGTCAACCACTAACAGGCATCACACATACAAAGGGGTCCTCTCTTGTCAAACTTAGCTCCTTCAGCACAGAGCATCTTCTGCCCGACAACAATGACATGGCCCTGGTTAGGAATTTGTACAAAAAAGCTACAAGATTAAATAGTTGCCATTCCACAGTTCTCCGATACAGCACTACAGGTAGTTCCGCTATAACGAATGTTTCGTTGACACGAGTTGGCTGTAAGATGAATGATGAATCGTGGACACTGTTTGGATAATGCAAACTTTCTGCTGTACAGCAATTTTCTACAACGATTTCCCTATAACGCAATTTTCTATAGTGCGAGGTTACACAAGAACGCAACTATTGTGTTATAGAACTACTTGTATCTGCATATAGAATCATTTGTCGATTGCCTACTTTATGTTTAGTAAAGCAACACCTGCCTTTCTGTACATAACTGATTTCCATACTTACTGATCCCACATTATTGTTGGCTATACTTGTACTAAAAGGGTCAGACTCCATGGATGTAAACGGGTCATTTGAAGACTGTTGAAAGAAGTTACTCGAAGCGTCTGCAAAAGGATCAGTGCCTTTAAAAGGGTCTCCTCCAAAAGGATCTGCAACAATATTGTACAAATGATTCAGCGAAAACCCAAACGAGAAACGTTTGCAGAGAAATGAATTTGAATTCGAGCTGCATATAATCAAGACTATCTGCTGAACAGCATAACTGGGAAAGCCTACCAGAAATAGGTGTAATTAGTACCCAAGTCAGACTGCAATTGAAACAGTAAAGCAAACTGTAAATTGTTTCAAGTTAAAAAAATTAATTTTATACATTGAAAGAATTCCACAACATTTCTAATATCTTTGGTATAAATTTCACATTGTACTAAGTCATACAAATTAACAAAGGTCACAGGTTTTATTCGAAGTCCATGTTCATTGTAGCTAAGTATCAAAAGGAATATGACAACTAATCTTATGCTCAGGCTAAGAAGAAAGAAAAGTAAAATCAGCCTTGGATCATGAGCCAACCCCAGTCTACAACTTTGTTACAAAATATCTGCTCGAGAGCGTTAGGTAGATTACTTACCTCTTTTGCGTTACACCACACAGTATCGTGAGAAGTGGCCCACTAACATTCATAAACGTTCATGTTTAAATAATTATAGGTACTAATGGGACACTATGTTAGGATCTTCAGGGGAAATTATACTTAAGTTTTGTACTTTAAAAAAAAAATGCTATCTATAATTTTATCACTTCCTCCCATACAGAAAAGGAGATAGACCATTAAAAAAAGGAACGGGGCAGATCATTGAGCCTTCTGCACCATTCAAAAGGATCATGGCTGATGTCATATTCCACACATCCACTTTGCTGCATCTTCCCCTAACCCTTGATCAAGACTCAATCTCAGCCTTAAAAATGCAGAATGAGCTCTTTGGGAAGAAGTTTCAAAGACTCTCAACCCGCAGTGAACAAACTGCTCCTTGTCTCACCTTAAACTGGTGCCCCTTTATTCCTGACACTCTCTCGTGAGGGGGAACATCCTCTCAGCATTTACCCTGTCAAGCCCCTCAAGAATCCTATATGTTTCAAAAAGTAGCCATAGTCTTACCAGACCACAGAACTGCTCATTCATGAGGGAGAGAGATGACTACTGACAGTTTAACCTGAGGGTCACCACACCTCAGGTGAGGGAAGAGGTTGAGAAGGAGAATCCTTCATGGTAATCTCAGCCGGTGTAGGAATTGAACCCGTGCTGTTGACATTGCTCTGTGCTGCCAAACAGCCAGCCAGCCACCTGAGCTAACCACCCCAGATAAATGACTGTTTTCGAAATGAGGTGGAACATTCATCAATACTTCCAGCTGTTTAAGTTAGTTGCAAATCCCCCAAATGTACAACAGGTATTGCAAATATACCGAGGTGTGTAAAATTCCGCACTGCCACAACTCCCCACAAGTTTTCAGCTGCTTTTCTGTCGGAAGCTAAGGAATGACTGAATCATCCCCAATTATACAGAAGCTTTCAGCATTTGTTACAATTCACAGGGATAGTGTGCTGATGATGAGCCCTGTTATTCCTGGAGTTGTCACAAAAGGTAATGATTTTAAAATCTCCCAAATTTACCTGACTTTCAGATCCAGACTGATAGAAGGCATGGACAGGTTTCTGTACTGAACAACTATTATTTATTAGAATTAAATTTGACTGTTGGTTTATAATACTACTAACTAAACTCATTCCCTTATAGATGTCCCTTACATGCACATACATACAAACTTGGTAAATAAGTTACAGACAGAGGGGGAAAGAACTGGAAAGACAGTTTAGTAATCTCTGTTTCCAGGTTATGTTGTTGAGATGACCTTCACGACTTTTCTGCTGGCCATCACATTGCTTCAGTTGTCTCTCTCAGATACTTTCATTGGTTGCTAAGGGACATGGTGGATGGTTGTTCCCTTATAAAAAGTCCCCAAATTATCATTTAAAACAAGTGTTGCAGGAAAGATAAACTGGTTTTCCGCAGAGAGCAAAGATATCACTCCTAAGCTGGGGAAGAATCGAACAACTCTCACTCTCTCCTTCTCTAATTTGTTCTCAGCTTGAAGCTGGAACCCAAGAACCAATCACACATTTGTGGTAGACAAAAAAAAGGTGCCTGTCAGTCATCGATGACTGGTCACTATCAAATAGACCAATCAAAATCTGTTGCTAGAAAAAGCTGCATTAATACCCCTTCAGCTCCAGACCCTATGAATCTCAACTTCGACTTACACTTGTTCAAACATTTGTACACACAAGGCTTCTCATGGATGTCAGGCAACTGGTTTTCAAAACTGCTCCCACCCATTCAAACATTAAAAAGCTCTTTCTCCTTTCAGTGCCCAGTTTTTAAAAACATAATTTATACTAGAAAAGGGATTTGAAAGGATTACAATAAAATAAATGTTTTAATCATCAACAAAAACCTGAGAGTGAAAGCTGAATTTTCAAACCACTATGTCTTGATTAAGTCGAAGCAATGGACAAAAGATAGAAATAATGATCATTTCAGTGGGTGGAGTTTCAGTTAGAATCCTGGCAGGAATATCTGTTAAGAATAAGCTGATAATTCAGAGACTGTTCACAATAGCAACTAATTCAATGCAAACTGAATAAATTTTTAACAATCTGATACAATTAATCCAATTTCACTGCCCTTTACTAATTGGGCCCGATTAAATATTAATACTGGGGAAAAATGACTCTCTTTTCAGGCACCCTGTGTCAACATTAAACAGATCAGATTGGACAATTTGTCAACAGCAGTAAAAGGTCTGTAACGATGACAAGGTCAACATTTTTTAGTCCTCCTTTGAGGATTTGACATCCTGAGGTGATGTGATCCAGCTATAATATATAATGTGGCTATAATATCACTTCACTGCTCAGAGCATATACAATTCCAGAACACAGACACCCTGAAGCAAATAAAGTGTACTAAAAGGATAGTAAATCATCAGAGAAGTGATCACATAATCTGAATAAAAAAGGTGACAGTACCTGTTGAAGCATCAACACTTCAGAAACAAGCTTCTAATGTTAAGTATAAAATGGAAATAACAGACCAGGATACTTCCGCCTCATTTCATCATCAGCAATTTGTTTACAGGAAGGGTGAGGAGCAAGTTTCATTCTCGCATCTATGTTTAAGCAACTGAGAGACATACAGTTGGTTCTGCTATAACACGTGTTTCTTCAACATGAATTGGCTTTACCACGATTGAAGAATGAAGACCACTGTTTGTAGAACGCCAACTTTCCTTACTTGTCCTGGCTATAATGCAATTCCGGCCCCATTAGCTTTAATGGCATGGTTATTGCATGATTTTCTCTTAAGCACGATAACAGAACTATTACGTTATATCAGAACCCCCTGTATTTGACAGCATTTACAAGACTATTATACAACATTCTCCTTTCCTGCACTCCACAAACTTAAGACTTTCCCAAAATTCTGTCTAACCCGACCCAAGTCCCATTCACTCATCATGCCTATTCTTGTTGATCTACATTGGCTCCTGGCTCAATAATGTCTCAATTTTAAAATTCTCATCTAATTTCACATAGTTCAATGGTTGCCCCCCACTTCATCTCTGTACCTCCTCCAGCATTAAACTTAAAGACCTCTGCTTATCTTCAATTGTGGAAAATTGAACATTTCATTTTAATTGCTTCATGAATGGCAGCCATGCTATCAGCTGTCTTGGCCCTGAGCTCTGATACCCCCTCTCTAAATTTTTCAGACACTCTGCTTCTTTAGTTCCTTAAAATCCTTTCTTTGATTAACCTATCAGTCAACTATCATAATATGTCCTTCACAACTCTCAGAACTTATTTTGGTAACATTCTTGTTGAGCACCTTGGGAAGTTTTGCTATGCTAAAGAAATTATAAATGCAATTTGTTGTTTGGGACAGGAGAAACAAAAACAATGGAGCAACTTAGAATTGGAATTTTTACTGCTGGCATATCGCAGCAATTTAATACTAAGAACATTTAAATAGTAAACTTCTGTCAACTGAAATAAGGACAAAAGATTACGTAATGTTACCAGGTTGTAGGATCACCCTTCCCCAGATATGCCTGATTCTCCAAGCCTGGCACAACATCTGAAAGTTCCACTTCATGATACATGATTTTTCGTTCCAAAATGCTATCACTCCAACGTCTACCTCAAACTTTTAGTTGAGAGGTGAAATTAGCTTTGCACTAATGCAAGGAGTGCTTGCTGAAACTGCTTTAGATTAAGTGCACTACTGAGTACTTTTCTTACCTGCAATATCAACTTTTCCAAATGGATCATCTTTAAAGGGATCACCTTCAAAAATAATTGAATAAAAAATATATTACTACAAAACTAACATACACATCACTAAGGGATTGACATAAATTATGTTAATTTATAAGGTCAGTTCTGTTACGCAACATACTTAGACCAAGACTACAAATAAAATCATAGAGAGGAGCTGGACAGGCCTTTGTTTCAATTTTACCTATGGGAGACTGAATTATTGTACATCTAACGTTGTGGACCTTTCTTGGGTTTCTCATCGATTTTGACATATGCATTCAGCCTCAGCTCCAAATGATGGTTCCATTTACCACAAATGGACAAAAGTAATTGCTCTGAAAAATCTGGTTGTGGTTAACGGGGTTTTCCAATACATGTTCTTTCAATTATACAGGATGCAAGCATGAGCACTGTTCAAAGGCCTTTGCTCAGCTCATCAGCATAGTATGTCATATTCTATTTTATGTAATTAATTGGGATTATTATTTACATGCATTCCTTTTTGCATTGAAAATATACCCGGAGATTTGACTTCTAATTGGAGATCTAAATTGTGGGTAAATTAGAAATCATGTAATTCACACACAACAATGCATCATGCACATCTGTGAAAGGGCTGCTTCATCCAGAACAAAAAAATCTACTTACTACATTAATAAATTCAGTTTATAAAGAGCATCTGAGCCCTTTGTTATGCTGTTCTATCTTTATTGGTTATAATTTCTAAGCTCCCAATATCTTGCTAGTTCACAAACGACACATCAAGATTGTATTAAGATCACAGGAGGAGATCCAAAGTGTTGCAATACATTGAGAATGATGTATTGCTGATAAGAGACAATCTCTGTCAAAGTCTTTTGTCTTGCACTTACTAGGACAGACCTATGAATATCAAATTTCAAAATCATTTATACTGCAAGAGAAACAGGGTAGTGATTTGCCATATGGTTGACAAACTAGTTTCTGTGGGATATGCCCTTTTGATAGAACAACGCCTGGTCTCTATCCCTAGCTTATTTCCAATAGGCTGATAATGCATTTGCAAAATTTGACTCTTCAGTTGCATCTAAGAATTTTCCTACACGCCTTCATGAAGTCCATCTCATGCAGAAATTCCCATTGAAATGGAGCAGGATGACGAATTCCTTGTCCTTGATGCATTAGCTGAAAAATATATTAATAGATTATCTACTGTCATCTACCATCCTAACTGGTCAATACAGACATTGGGATTCCTGAGCTGTACACTCTATAAGATTGGCATCATCCGCAAACTTGTAGACAAGACTTACTCACTGTGCAAGTTTGATATTATAATTGGCACAAAGCTGTACAGCCAGGATAATGGCTATCCAGTCAGATTGTTGTAAATTATGCAAACTCATATATGGGCCTAAAGCAGCTACTTTCAGTTCTGAGAAGTGCCTGTGCCCAGTCTACCACAAATAACCCTTAAGAGCAAGGTATCTAAAAGAAAATTTCAGCAACAGATTTCATGCCACTACTGTCAAATAGCAAAACAAAACGGTATTCTTTTAGATGCCAAGCCAAAAACATGTTCTGTCCAGCACCACTAAAAATGTAGCATATGAATTCCCTTGCCAGTACGATACCAGGTATCAATGTCTCAAAGACTGATGGACTACATTAACCAGCATGTCCTTTTGTCCATTTGCAACAGGCAAAGTACCTGACTGTACTCAGCCAGCCTGTGCTTGTGAAAAACAGAAAATAATGCCCCAGCATTTGATATGAATCCATGACTGGGAAGCACTTACTGAGCAAGTTTCCTATACCGAACTAGTCCAATTTGCCTGCATGTGGCCAGGAACCCTCTAAATCTTTTGCTATCCATGTATCTGTCCAAATGACTTTTAAAATGTTGAAATTGTACAAACCACAGTAGTAGAGCAAGTTTCATTGTTTGAGCATCCCAACGAGATGAGTACAATACAAATGGATAATTAACAAACTTGGTGTTGAGTCTTTTCAAGTTAAGATAAAGTGAATTGCCTCAGATAAAATCAAAAAAGGTGACAACTGGAGAATCAGAGCTCTGCACGCATCTGTTACTTCTTTCTTGGCACACAGTAAAGTTCAACTCACAACCTATATTGAATAACGCAGAGCTCTTGATTTGAAACCAAATACCAATGCAAAATTGTATTTATGTAGTGCCTCACATAACTTTCGGCCATCCCAAAGCACTTTACAATGAATGAATTACTGCATTTAACCATGTGAGTAAAAAGCAGAGTTGCTGTCTGTCTTAAACCTGAATGAATTCGAGTGTCTGTAGTCCAAAAATTTAGGTCGTGCCTTTTTTCTTAGAATATCAGATTTGGCCTACACTATGAAAGCTAGAACAGTACCATGGGACATGCGATGTTAAATTATTAATCGTTATACATATGATGCTTTTTAAAAAAAAAAAACTATATGAAGACTACAAGCAGCAAAATTTTAAATTAAAACAAAAAAAAAAATTGAACTTACTTCCAGTGAAAGGATCTGTCTCAAAGAAATCCAGGTTTGGGTCTGGAATACTGTTAGTAGTTTTCATAACTACTGGATCAAAAGGATCATCCTACAAGAATTAGAAAAAAAAATACTCATGCACAAACTAATTAAACTCAGCTTGGATTTTGCAGATTGCAACACAGTCATGACGCTTATTCCAATGCTTGTTTCAGACTGATTTTACGTCAACAGAGTCACTAGAATAGATATAGATAGATAGAATGAGAGAGCAGGACAGGTAGTTAAGTTGACGAGTAATCGAGAACCCCAAACCTAATGTTCTGGGGACAATGGTTTGAATTCCATGGCAGATAGTGAAATTTGACATCAATTAAAACAAAAAGTTGGAATTAAAAGGCTAACAATTGTGATCATGTAACCATCATCAATTGGTACAAAAAAACTACCTGATTCACTAATGTCCTTTTGGAAACTGCTGTCCTTACCTGGTCTCACCTACATATGACACCAGATCCACAGCAATGTAGTTAACCCTTTATTACTCACAGAAAGCCATTCTGTTGTATAATATCTCCACAAAGTCTAAAGAAAGGAACGAAACCAAACCAACCACTTTCCGTCGACATATGCACTGGAAACAAAAAAAAAAAAAAAATAGGCCTGTCGATTCTGGAAAGTCTTTCTTACCAAAATTATGCCAAAATTGGGACAGCTGTCCCACAGACTAACTGAGGTACAGCATGACATTGCCATTCTTTCAGTATCGCACTTACAATGTTGTAGACAACACTCATCACCTCTGGGTATGTCCTGTCCCTCAAGCAGGGTTGACCCAACAGAGGTGTTGGTACAGTAGTATACAGCTTACATCTGCAAGCGACACTACAATAACTCATCAAGCTTCCTCAAACAGAACCCTCCAAATCTGCAACCTCTTACATGGACAAGGGCAGCAGATTCAAGGGAACACCTTCGGCTGCAAGCTTCCCTCCAAGCCACACACTATCCTGACTTGAAACGATATCACTGTGCCATCCCTAACACTGGATCTAAATCCTGGAACTTATTTTCGAACAGCACTGTCTCGGTGTTCCTACAATCCAAGGACAGCAGAAGTTCAAGAAGAAACTTAGCACTACCATCTCCAAGGGGAGTAGGATGGGCAATAAATCCCGGTCTAGCTACTGAGCTCATGTCCCATGATTGAAAAGCAAAAACCCAAACGACCATGACAATTGCAGCTAAATACTTTACATGCTTACACCAGTTGGAAAAATTCCTTGCAGATATAAACAATGATGTTTCAATATATTTCCTGTCAATTTAAGACCTTATGCATTGCATTGCCACCTAAGATCAACAACAGAGATGCAGTTTGAACCTCAAAGACCAACTTGGTTAGATGTGACACTCTCATTGAGCATGGTGTGGTAAAATAACCACAAGACAGAGCAGTTAGCAGCAGTGCATTATTTCAAATTATTGAAGGGACCAGAGGGCTGAGAAAGAAAGTGGAAAGAAAAGCAAAATAAAAGCTGCTCAAAATGACAATCTATTTAATAGAAGAATCAAGCTGGAGAGATACAGTTACCCCAGCCTAGCAGCTGGGCCATTTCATTCTACTTGATTTATACCACAGCAATGTTCCATACAAAGTCCTGCAACAGCTCAACCTACCTTTTCTGCAAAACTTGGCTGCTGAATTTCAGTTTGTTCTGTCCTTGTTTCTGTAGCATTTGGGATGGACTCCTCAATGTTATTGCTGACCTAGAAAAACATTTTTTGACAATATGTTGTGATATTTGCTGATGATTGTGTAGGGTTCAGTATTGTTTGTGACTTTTCAGTCACTTTAGCAACCCATACCTACATGCAGCAAGGCTTGGATAATATTCAGACTCAGACTGAGTGGCAAGTAACATTTGGATCACACAAGTGCTAGGCAATAACCAGCCCTAATAAAAGAATTCAATCATTTCCTCTTAACAGTCATAGCATTATCACCATTGAATCTCCCAATATCCAGCATCCCCAGGGTTACCATTAACCAGAAACTTAACGAAGAAATGATTTTGCTTTAAGAGAATGTCAGAACTAGACATTCCACAGCAAATAACTCACCTCCTGAATCCCCCAAAATCTATCCACCATTACAAGGCACAAGTCAGGTGTGTGTCGGAATACTTGGCCTGATGAGTGCAGCTCTAACAACACTAAAACAGCTCAACAACATTAAGGACAAAGTAACTGATCTGATTAATGCCTTATGCACTACTTAAATGTTGCTCCTTTCACAACCGATGCACAGTGTATGTCATTTACAAGATGCATTGCAGAAACTCCCTAATGCACCTTGGTCAGCTCCTCCCAAATCCTGATCACTATCATCTAGAAAGATGGACAGGATAAGGAGAACACTACTACCTGCAAATTACCCTCCAAGCAACACACACTATCCTGAGTTGGAACTGTATTGCCACTCCTTCACTGTCGCCAAGTCAAAACCAGTACTAACCATTGTTGGTATACTCCCACCAAATATACACCACTGTTTCAATATGACAGCTCACAACCACCTTCATCTGCAATTAGGAATGAGCAATAAATGCTGATACGAGCTAGAGATGCTCAAAACCCAGCAAAGAACAAAAAATTAAATTTTCAAGATATATATGGTAACATTAAGAGAAAATGCAACATTTATTGTACAAATATTGCATTTACAAGAACTTAAAAATCATAATATTTGAACTCAGTAGCATATATAATGCCTTACCACAGCCTCGCTAATAATCACTTCCTTCTCCAATGGGCTGTGCTTCTCAGCGTTTTTCTTGTGATCAGTGGATTCACTGGCACTGCTGTTTAAATCATAGTGCTCAACATTACCATTTACAAGGGCAGGTTGCATAAGACTCCGCCAACTCAGTTGACTGTTGAGGCTCTCCTCAGATTCTTGTAGCTCAGACAACTTGGATTTTGCCTTTAAATACAAAATTCAAATAATCACGACATATCTTGAACAAATATTTGCCAGATTATCTGTGGCACTCAAAAAAGGATCAGAAAGATTCAGCCCACACCAATACAAAACTTATAAAGTATCTTAAGTACAGTATGACTAATATGGAGCCAAGGGCATGAATTACCTAACATTTTGCGTATTAAGCATACATTGTTAAGAAATACCAACATTATTTAATTGTAATGGAAACTGTATACAGCTGAATTGTCTTTTTACAATTTTTAACTCAAGATTTTATTCCTAGATCTTTTACAATTTACAGAAAACAGGCCTAGTTACCATTCTAGACGACAAGGTGCAGAGCTGGATGAACACAGCAGGCCAAGCAGCATCATAGGAGTAGAAAGGCTGACGTTTCGGGCCTCGACCCATCATCAGTTGTCTCGGA